GGGAATGTAAGGATAGGGTAGCTAAGGGGTGCAAGCTTTATTTTTGAGATGATAGTTGCAGATATCTGTGAATATACCAAAAACTATTGAATTGTATATTTTGAATGATTTAGTTTTATGGTATATGAATTATAGTTATATGAAGCTGTTAAAATAGTATGTTAGATGTTGGAGAAGTGCTATAAATAAAAGTGAAGTAGGAATGAAAGGGAATATCTATTGGGGGAGTGTTGACAAATTCCTGTCCTGCCCAGACCCTCTCCCTTTCCATAAATGATGCTCTCTCTGCTTCACACTTGGCACCAGGAGCCCTTCCCAAGGCCTGGCCTCAACTCAGACTGAGGAAGACCTCTGCTTTCCCAAATGTGAGGTGAGAGGTAGATGGGGATTCTCTAAGGAACAGAGATGAGGTCATAGAAGCTGTGTTTATCCTTCTTCCGTCATGCTACTTTCTAAATAATGTTCACACCTGCTCAATCTGCAGTTTTTCCATGGAAGTGTGGTCATGTGCTCTGAGGATAAAAGGATAAAAACGAAACAGACTCTGTCCACAGGCTAAACCCTGTTGATCAGTCAGAAATGCTCAGTTCTATAGAATCAGACCTCATCTCTGTTGCAACTGAATTGTCTCCATAAAACTGACCCTGTATCCTGGAGATGGCTAGCATCCAGTCCCCCAAAGCAGAATACAGAAGCTCATTTTCCCAAACAGGCAAGGGCCTCTACTAGGGAACAGATAGATAAAAGAATCATTGACCGGACAACCAAAAAGAGTTGCAGGTGTGACTCTCACAGGAAACGTGGCCTTGGGGAATTGCTGGCTCAGAATGGAGAGTCTGCCTCCATCTGCCAGTAACCTGTGGCTGATTGACAAAATAATTTGATGTTCTGTATTTCTTGGACCATTTGCAACTATAAATATTCTCTTTTGCTGTCTCTATAAGTGTATTTGTTCCTGTCACAGAGGACAGGGATCATTTGGCATTCTTCTCGCAGATACTGCGGTAGCTGGTATCACATAATGCAGCATCAAATGTCTTTGTTAGGCCAATGGTCGCACAGTTGAAATTTTGATTCCAATTGGTAACACTAAATGAGAAAAGAAAGTGTGGTTAAAGCCTATCATTTCAGCCCCACCTCTTCCTGATTCCAGAGTGCAAGTCTGCCAGGCGTTGTGCTTGGAGGGACAGCAGACTGACTGGACCCACACATGCCTCCTCTGAAACAGCCTCATTTCCAACTCAGAGCCCCTCTCCCAAATCCAGTCCCCAGCCCTAAATCTATCCTTTCCTGTCAACTCTCCTGTGAGCTTGTATGGATTCACAGTCTCTGACTAATTCACTTTTGCATTTGGTCAGAAGAATATCATGAACTATCCCTTCTTCCAGAAGTAGTGTTTAGTGCTGTATGCATGTTCACTGCAGGAGGACCAAAAGAAGGGGGAAGGAGATTGCTCATTCTTTCCTGGAGCTCAGCGCACTTCAGGAACACCTGGTGGAGCTATCTGTTGGCTCTCCCACCTCTTGTTCTGATGTAGGATCAAACAGTGGTTCTACCACTTCCTAGCCTTGTGATATTCAATACATTTCTAAACTTTTCTTGTCCTCAGGTCAACTGTGTGCTAAACGGAGAGTAATAAAAGCTTTTCCTGTAGCATCACGGTGAATACTACAGGAAATAACATGTACAAAGTGCTTAGCTTAGTGCCTGGCATTTACTAGATACTGAATAAATAAAAATTTTCTTCCCCCTATGGGGAAGCCCAGTTACAGTCTGGGGAACTGACTTGCTCTCTGTCTGAGTCAACATTTTCATATGAACACTAGGAATATTATGTTCTCCACCAACACTTATCTCTATGGAATGATTCAAAGGAGATAGCTCTTGGGAGTTTAAAGTTCATAGCTTTAAGACATAAACAAGTTCTCTTTTTTTAATAATAGTCTTTCTTTAGATAAAGAAGCCATATCTGGGGAAACTTGTAGGCACGTCATAATAAAATGTGACCTGTAGGTTAAAAAAGACTTATGAGATACATCAAACAATGTACGAACTATGTATGTGGATTTGTTAGGATCTTGATTTGAATAAAATAATTTGTTACATGAATACTCTTCCCTCTCTTTATGAATGTTTGATATTTTCCATAATAAAAAGTATATAAGAATGTGTCTCAGAGAATAGGTAGGTTAGAAATAAGGTGAAGAGCAGAACAGAGTCAAGTCTCAGCCTTTGAGCTATTCCAGAAGGAACTCACAAACCCTATGTTTGGTGTCTTGAGGCAAACTAAGATCCCCAGAAAAATGTGAGATATCCACATACTTGCCATTGAACGCAGAGTTGTTGATCCAACGCCACCTCTTCTCTGCATGCTGATATATTAAGCCAATAAAATACTTTTCAGCACTTGTTATGTTTTGGAGAAATTTCTAGAAATTAAAAAAAACCAATTCAATAGGGAGTTCTTTACTGATGCCTCCCTTGAACCAATGGACCCATGATTATATCTGGTTCTGGGAACAAAAAAGGCTGGTAGGGGACTCTGGGACTGGCTATGGCTGGCACACACCACCAGCCCCAGGGAGTGGTTGTCAAGCTTTGCAGGGCATCCCCATCACCCGAGTCGTGTTAAAACACACACTGCGGCTCTGGTTCCACAGGTCTGCTGTAGGGAACCAAGAATTTGCCTTCCTAACAAATGCCCAGGTGATGCTGAGGCTCTCTCTAGGGACCACCCTGTGAGTGATGGGGAAGGGGTGGGGTACAACCCCAAACATGTACCATGCTGCTCAGCATAGGGTTGTTTTCATTGCCTGAGGTTTTATATTTCAAATAAGATTGAATCAAGTGATAACAAAATGTGTTTATATTCCTTGAGTACTTAGCAAAGGAAAACAAGGAGATTTAAAAGTGTGTTGCTAAAGCAGGTGATTCAAGGAGAAATAATCAAGTGCTTAATGAATATTTACTAAGTTGACACTAGTCTAAGAGATCTTCATTTTTGTATTCAGTTGATGAATCACAAACCACCCAAGTCAGAAGTCTTTCCTGTACTCATCATATACCTCCCATAATCAATGGATATCCAAGTATTATTCTCTCCACCCCCACAGCTATTTCCTTAGTTCCTCCTTTCTTAATGTTTTACTTTTCTGAAATATCTAATTTTATTAAATTTTTGTATTAATTACTGAATTTACTCATTTGCCCAACATTTTTGGGACGTCTGTTATGTGCCAGGCATTGTACTAGGCTAGGGATATGGAAACAAATATATTTCTCTTCAAAGAAATTATGATTTAAAGCAGGGGTTGGCAGACTCCAGCCAGTGAGCCAAATCCAGAATGCAGCCTGCTTTTGTAAATACAGTTTTATTGGAATGCTACCAGGCCCATTTGTTTACATATTGTTTATGGCTGCTTTTGAGCTATAACAGCAGAGTTGAGTAGTCGTGACAGAGACCTGTGATCTGAAAAACTTAAAACATGCATATATTATCTGGCCCTTTGAGAAAAAAGTTTACTGACCCATGGTCTAAAATGAGGGTCCTTAATCCTTAACTTTCATGCTGGAAGCCATGGATGGTTTCCAAGGGGATCTAGGAAGTCATTGGAACTTTATTCTAAATGTTGTGCTTATGTAATGTTTCTGGAAGGAGGTGCATAGATTTCATCACTGTTTTTAAAAATTCATTGATCCATCATGTTGGAGAACCACAGATTTAATAAGAGAAGACAGATGCGTTAACCAGTGTAGTGAAGTATCATGGGTGTAGTGCTAGGAAATACCTACTAGATCTGGCTCAGGCAGAAAAGAGGAAGTGATCATTCTACACGGATTTGAAATTTTTCTAGAAAGACTATAGATGAGGTGATACTTGAGACGAATTTGGGGAGACAGCTAACAGTTTGTCAGACCAATGGTAGGGGAGGATGTGGACTTCCTGGAAGAGAGAGCATAGAATTGCAGGCAGACTGGGAAGCAGCCCGCAGCACCTGAGGAACCACAGGATGCTCAGCACGGCTGGTGCAGAGGTGGGAAGGAGGTGGGCTGAGAGAAAGGCTGGAGGGAAGGAAAGCACTAGGCTCTGCAAGGCCTGATACGTAATGCTAGGAAAACTGGACTTTAATCTGTTTTAATTTAGAAAATGGCACAGACAATTTAGAGCCTTAGAGACATTATGATGTCAGTTCTGAGGAGGATAGGTAAGAAGAGGGCAACACTGGAGGCAAGGAGATGAATTAAAAGAATTCTGAAGAAATCCAGGTGAGAACTGAACAATATATTGCGGGGATAGAGAGGAAAGGACTTGGTTAGCAACTAATTTGGGAGGAAGACAGAAGGTAAAGTCCCAGAAAACTCCCAGCATTCAATCTTGGGTGACATGACTACTCACTAGTATTTGGGACACAAGAGGAGGAACAGTTAGGGTCCAATACAATTGGCTCGGCTTTGAACGTGGTGAGTTTGTGGAACTTTTGAAACATCAAAGTAAAATTTGGTATACTGTCTGGCATGGAGAAGGCTGAGCTGGAGATACAGACTTGAGAGTTGTTAGCAAACCATTGGTGTGACGAGCTTTTTCTGGGATTAGCATGGAGTATAAGTGGTGGAGAATACCATGGATGGAACTTGGGATGCACCAAAACTTAAGGGCTGAATAGAGGAAAAGAGGTCATCAACTTCTTACCCTACCCCCTGTCTTCCCTTCTTCTTCCCTCCTTTCCTCCTTTCTCCCACTGTCTTGTTCCTGGTTTTCTACTTCAAGGCATTTTCCCTTCCCACTTGGGAACTTGGCCCTAGGTCTGCA